GTCAAGCTACTGACTGCTTGTTCAAGCATTGACTTTGAAGGAAACGATTTCAAAGCCCTGGTGTATGAGTTCATGGTGAATGGAAGCCTAGATGAGTGGCTGCACATATCAGCTTAAGGAGTAGATAGGCCAGCCAATCTGCCAAAGAATCTGAATCTCACTCAAAGAGTTAACATTGCCATCGATGTAGCGTATGCTTTGGATTATTTGCACAACTGCTCCCACATGCCAATAGTTCATTGTGATATAAAGCCCAGCAACATTTTGTTAGACGATGACATGACTGCTTGTAGTGATGGTGATTTCGGTTTAGCAAGGTACCTCCGGGATGCTTCTTGCCCGTCTCCTTTGCACGAGAGCAGTTCCAATGTCATAAAAGGCACCATAGGCTATACTCCCCCAGGTAAATTTTCTTTTGTATATATTTTATTTGTGCTTCTAGTATGGTTTTGTATATAGCATGAGTTTTTTGAAGTCACACATAAGAACAAAGCTATGTTTGCATATAACTTAAGAGTATGGAATGGGAGGCGAGGTGTCAACATATGGCGATGTGTATAGCTACGGAATACTCTTGTTGGAGATGTTAACTGGCAAGAGGCTAACAGATGACATGTTTAAATGTGGTATGGACCTGCACAATTTTGTTATGATGGCTGTACCAGAATGTGTGGGAGAAATATGTGATCCACTAATTGTTCAAATAGAAGAAAGCAACATCAGTACTAATCCCATAAGAAATAGGGGGAATCATGCCCCAAATGATCGAAGAGGAACGGTTGTGGAGTGCTTGACTTCCATTGCAAGAGTAGGAGTTGCTTGTTCCGTATCGATGCTGAGAGAGCGAAAAGACATGGGCAATGTGGTAGCTGAATTGAGTCTAATAAGGGATGTGCTAACTGGAACTAGGATGCCTAGAGAGAACCCGTGATGACGACCCAATTAGTGAGTAATAATACCCTATTATCGTTAAATAAAATCCCATCACAGTGCTTGAACTTTGCATGGTGATCTTTTGAATGATGATGAGGTGGATTTTCCCCGTTTTGCAATTTCATTTTGTATGTTTTGTAAATGATCTTAATTTGTAAGATCATCTTTATGTTTGCTTGGAAATTTGGAATTTGTCAATCAAAGTTTGGTTCTTGGTCTTATTAATTATGCAATTTTAATTGGCCTTTTTTTTTATTTATATATATTATTTTTTATCACAAATGGTCCTTGAGATTAATCAGACTCATCATTTTGGTCCTCACTTTCAAAGTCAATCAATGTCATCCCTGAGATTCACTATCCCACATCAATTCGGTCATTCCGTTAAAATTTCGTCAACTATTATGTTAGTATGTATGTGGGACCTACACATCTAATGAAATGATGAAATGTGGATTGCACAAAATAAGGGTTTTTATCGCAAAAGGTCTCTGACATTGATCCAACTCCTCATTTTGGTCCTGAGTTTCAAAAATCAATAAATTTGGTTGTTGACTTTCACTATCGCATATCAACTTGTCATTCCGTTAAAATCTCATCAATATTTTTCATTTGTGTGCTGATGTAGTCCCACTAATGCAATCGTATGGCTCCACGTGAATGAACTATAATGAACTATTTTTTTAAAGAGTAAACCAACGGACGAGTATTTTGTGCTGACATTTTTCTCGCATCCCACAACACCAACTGGAATTAAATTCAATCTAAATTCGATAAAATCAAATCCAAATTTAATTTAAATTGAAGAAAATAACCAACTAGAGAGAATGAATAGTGAGTTCAGGAAGTCAAGTACTTTAATGGTGTCATGGTGCCTCGCTTTCCTTTTTGAGCTTACCCTGATGAAGACAATAATGACTTTTTTTCTTTTAGATTGGTTTTTAGTTTCTTATTTTACTTTTAGTTTTAAATCATAAAAAAAATAGTTTCTTATAATTAATCCATGTGGAGCCTTATGATTGGATTAGTGGGACAAAAAATATTGACGAAACTTTAATGGACGGATTAAATTGACGTGTGGTATTGAAAGGCAAGGACTAAATTTGTCAATTTTTGAAACTCAGCGACCAAAATGAGAAGTTGGATCAATGTCAAGGACCATTTTCGATAAAAACCCTTATTTTGTGCAATCCACATGTCACCATTTCATTATATTTGTGGGTCCCACATACAAACTAACTATATAGTTGACAGAATCTTAACAGAATGACCAAATTGATGTGTGGTAGTGAATGTTAGAGATGACATTGATTGATTTTGAAAATAAGAAACCAAAATGATGAGCTTGATCAATCTCATATATTATTTGTAATAGAAACCCATTTTAATTTGGTGTTCTTACGCCTCGCCTTATGAGACATAAAACGCTTGTTTGTAAAATCAGCTTTATGTTTGTTTGGAATTTTGGAATTATGTGAGATAATATGTCAGAATACAATTTTGGAGAGGCTTTATCTCAGCTGCAATAATCTTAAACCTCTTGGAAAGGTTTCTCTTGTTAATGCATTTGGTAGTTCTAACTTCCTTTTGTAAGTTATTTGGAGAAGTTTCATGAGACCAGCAATTCTTTTTACATGTTCGATTTTTATTTTTTATTTTTGGCTTAAGTCTATAGCAGTAATACATTTTTCAGTTATGGCTTTTCAAAAGAGAAGTTTTATTGGATTTTATTTAGATTTCGAATCCATTTCCAGGAAATTTTGCAAGATTAGTCTCCAAGTTGTGGGAGCAGGCATATCCAGATTTGTCTGTAGGAAAATATGAATAAAATTCTTAGAGAAATTTATGTGGATATCGGTATAGTTTGACAAATCAAAACTAAAAACCGCGTTGATTCAATTTTCTTTCTATTGACACAAGGCTGTGATGTCTATTAATTCCCAAGTTCTTGCGTCATCTAGTAGTGATGGGCGTTTGTTTGCCCTCACATGCTATCACTAAACTAGACTGGACTAACTATTAGTCTAGTCCCATGTCTGTTATCATGCAAGACTAACGTTAATGAGATTAGCCGAAAACAATTCCGGGGTACTTCTCGATACCTCCTGGATGCTTCGTACCCATCTCCTTTGCATGAAACAATTCCAGTGTCATAAAAGGCTCCATAGGCTATACTACCCCAGGTAGATTTATTTCTCCACCTCCTCAAGTGTAAATGTATCATTTTGCCAAAAAACATCCAGAAAAAAAGTTATCAAATAGCACTTTTATAGTTGTGAAGTTAACAAATATCACTTTTATAGTAGTGATGTTCTCAAATAGCACTATTCCAATAACAAATCAACAATAACAATTAGGGAAGTGATTTTCGTACACCTGTATCAGCTTCCCACACATTTCTCTTTATTATGACCAACAAATTGAAAACAAGAAACATGATTAAATAGCAGCGTGCGTGAAACTAGAAAATGTGTGCATCCTTATCAACAATAACATCATGGTTATCAAGGATTTATTTATTGGGAAGTGTTATTGGCACTCCAAAAATCTCATTCTACAGTCCTCATAAGTGTATTTTTCTTTACAAATATAGAAAGTTTGGAGTATAGAATGAGATTTTTGGAGTACCAATAACAATTCCCTATTTACAGTTGATTTCATCCTTATACGTAGTATGATTTTCTGGGAAATTATACAGGTTTTACAGTGAGGGGTTATTACTTTTGATAAGTGAATGGTTTTTGAAAAGCTTTGTTTTCGCCCACTCACATTTTCTATTTTGCACCCCTCCAAGTTCTAGTAGTAAAGTTTCCGTATCGACGAGGATTCGTGGCACTTCCCAGTACAGGTGGCTTCTTATGATGGTATAATCATTATCTTACCTTACTATACTCTACTTATGCTCTGTATCACGTGTGTATGGGTCTATACCCGCTCACCGCACACTCGTATATTTAGGCACTTTTAAATTTATTCATAGTTTACACATTATCACACTTTATGGCTTCGTCACCTTCCAGGTGTCGGCCAGCACAACTTGATTTGGAGTCCTAATGGACATTCCAGGTCAGGGTGTGTCAAGTTTCATGAGATCGACATTTATTTTTTACATGTTCGTTTTTTTTTTTTTTTTGGTTTAAACCTATATGGTTAGTAGTAATACATTTTTCAATCATGGCTTTTCGAAAGACAAATTTTATTTTCGGGATTGAATTTAGATTTCGAATCCATTTGCAAGAAATTTTGCTAGATTAGTCTCCAAGGTGTGGGAGCAGGCATATCCAGATTTGTCGGTAGGAAAATATGAATCAAATTCTAAGAGAAATTATGTGGATATTGGTATAGTTTGACAAATCAAAGCTAAAAACCGCGTTGATCCAATTTTCTTTCTATTGAATAACAAGGCTATGATGTCTATTAATTCCCTAGTCTTAATCTAACACTGACGGACATTTATTGGTGTCATGGTGCATTCTTTTTCTTTTAGCTTACCCTTAGGAGGACGATGATGACTTTTTTTTCTTATAGTTTTGGTTTTTAGTATCTTATTTTACTTTTAGGTTTAAATCTTAAAAAAAATAGTTTCTTATAGTTAATCCACGTGATGGCTTATGATTGGATAAGTGGGACAAAAAACATTGACGAAACTTTAACGGAAGGATTAAATTGACGTGTGGTATTGAAAGTCAGAGACCAAATTTGTCAATTTTTGAAACTTAGGGACCAAAATGAGAAGTTGGATCAATGTCGGGGACTATTTGCGATAAAAACCCTTATTTGGTGCAATCTACATGTCACCGTTTCATTAGATTTGTGGGTCCATCATACAAACTAACAGAATAATTGACGGAATCTTAATAGAATGACCAAATTGATGTGTGGTAGTGAATGTCAGAGACGACATTGATCGATTTTGAAAATGAGGGATCAAAATGATGAGTTTGATCAATCTCAGAGATCATTTGTGATAAAAATCCATTTCAATTTGGTGTTCTTACGCCTCGCCTTATGAGACATAAAACGCCTGTTTGTAAGATCAGCTTTATGTTTGTTTGGAAATTTGGAATTATGTGTGATAAATTGTCAGAATACAATTTTGGAGAGGCTCCATCTCAGCTGCAATAATCTTAAACCTCTTGGAAAGGTTTCTCTTGTTAATGCATTTGATAATTCTAACTTCTTTTTGTAACTTATTTGGACAAGTTTCATGAGATCGACATTTATTTTTTACATGTTCGGTGTTTTTTTTTTTTTTTTTTTGGCTCAAACCTATATGGTTAGTAGTAATACATTTTTCAGTCATGGCTTTTCGAAAGACAAATTTTATTTTCGGGATTTAATTTAGATTTCGAATCCATTTGCAAGAAATTTTGCTAGATTAGTCTCCAAGGTGTGGGAGCAGGCATATCCAGATTTGTCGGAAGGAAAATATGAATCAAATTCTTAGAGAAATTATGTGGATATTGGTATAGTTTGAAAATATAAGAATTTGTGCGTTGTGGATATGAAAATCAGGGCTGCAGACCCTCATCCTTCACATTTTAGTTTCTCCTTTTGCTTCTCCCTTTTGGGATTTTGTGGAACCAAATTTGTAATTTTTGTGTATTATGAAAGTTGAATACGTGGGAATCAACCAGTTCTTCATTTTTCGTCTATATGGAGAATGCTGTTTTTTGCACTTTTATGGTTCGACAAAGTCTATCGTTTGACCCAAAAAACAAAAAAAAACAAAATCTCTAAGGGTTAAAATTTCTGGTACTTTCCTTGGTGAGGGGTTGGTTTCGAATTTCTAGGTTTAAAGCAGATCGATTTTTATATTTAGGTTTAATATCAGCAATTAATGAAAGACGAATTTTACCTTTTTCGAGTATTTCATCAGTACCAGCTTGCTGTATTTATTATTCTGTAGGTGTAAATATAGTTCCCTAAGCAAGCTAGCTTATTTTTCAACTTTTTAACTGATGTGTGACTTCTAACTGTTTTTTTTCATATTTCTTCTTTTATATTCTGATTATTGAATTTGAAATCACTTAATGAAATGAAATTGCCAAACCATGTTAGAGTGTAATTTTACGCGTTCCATTTGAGTTTACAAACAACATTTGCATTCACATGTATCTTTTGTTCAATGCCTATCACCAGTTTGATAAAATATGTCAGAGAAACACGCACGGTTTTCTCGATTCTTTGTTCTTTATTTTTAGATGTTTCTGGATTTAGAATTTTATGGTTGAAATGCCTCTGCGCATTGGGTCTAAATTGCAGGTGAGAAAACAGAGAGCCAGCAAAGCTTCGTAGAGAGGAGGCATGAGTTTCCTACGATGGTAAGTCTATTCCTTCATTTGGGTAAAGCATATTCATTGTGGTGTATTTGGCAAAACTCAAGACCCCTTTATGCATCTTTTGTTTTGATTGGTTTGTTGGATGTCAGCATGTGGGACACTTGAGTTTGAGTACCTTTGTCTGTTCCGATATAATAATGCGATGTTAATTTAGGCTATAATGATGAATCTTTGTGTTTAAGATTTTTTTTTTATGACATATTGTGATGCATTAGCCATGATTTCATCTGGGCAATTAGGAAATATCAAAAAGTATCCCCTCTGCTAAGGATAAGACACTCTTGCAGGAACTAGACATCCCAATATTTTGCAATCTGATTACAAATTATCAAAAGTACATACCGCTATCAATTATATGATATTTTTAGATTGTTAGTGGCTTTGTTCTATTTTATATATTGACATACAACATTAAAATCCCGATCATGGTCAACTAAAAAGTATTAAACGTGTTATGAATAGAAACGCATTCTAACATGGATTTCTTTTTACAGTAGAATTATCTACAGACTAGTTCTCAAAGGTGGTTACAGTGGAGACCAATATTCAAAACACAGTGAACAAGTTTTTACAAGCTAATCCCACCGGTAATAGAAACCACATCCTTTGTCTCTCTGCTTACATGCTTTTTAACATGGAGAGAAATTTAATCTGTATTTCAAAATTAGTGGTTCTTGATGTTCAACCGTAGGGAAATGATTCTTGAAATTGTATTTTGGAATTAGTGATCTTCATTCAGAACAAAAGGACTAATTTCCTTCCTACATTCCACATGTATGTAAATAGTATCGCTATTATATATATATATATATATATATATTTACAATTCTTACATGTTCTAATTTCTATACAGTGTTGAAACTCACAGCATAAGAGACCTCTGTTTTCTATATTGATATATTTCCTAAATATTTTAAAGACCCGCAGCAACGTTTTAGCACTATTTCTAGGCTTACCTACTTTGTGCTTTTTAAAAACCAATACAGTAGAAAACTAGCTAGCAGGTCTCTACGTTTTACTTTCTGCGTTTTATGATAATTCTAATATAAAACGTCAATGTCTTATTTTTTCGTCAAGAACCAACGTGTAAGTTACTTGAGTAGTGCAACACTTATCACATATTTGTATTATTATTTCTACCGCTTTTCTAATAGAGGTTTGTATTATTTTGGAAAGGCTCCATCTCAGCTGCAATAATCTTAAACCTCTTGGAAAGGTTTCTCTTGTTAATGCATTTGATAATGCTAACTTCTTTTTGTAACTTATTTGGAGAAGTTTCATGAGATCGACATTTTTTTTTACATGTTCGGTAATTTTATTTTTTTTTGGCTTAAACCTATATGGTTAGTAGTAATACATTTTTCAGTCATGGCTTTTCGAAGGACAAATTTTATTTTCGAGATTTAATTTAGATTTCGAATTCATTTGCAAGAAATTTTGCTAGATTAGTCTCCAAGGTGTGGGAGCAGGCATATCCAGATTTGTCTGTAGGAAAATATGAATCAAATTCTTAGAGAAATTATGTGGATATCGGTATAGTTTTGACAAATCAAAGCTAAAAACCGCGTTGATCCAATTTTCTTTCTGTTGACTAACAAGGCTATGATGTCTATTAATTCCCTAGTCTTAATCTAACAGTGACGAGCATTTGTTTGCCCTCACAGACTATCAAAACTGTTTGTCGTGTTCCCTAGTCTTAATCTACCAGCTGTGCAACCCAATTCGGACCCTGAAATTGACTCCATTCTTTTCGTCAACTGACAGTTCCATAAATATCCAGAGCTTCATTTTGCAGCCTAGCTAAATGGAGTTCTCAAGTATTCATATTAGCATTTGGTTTATTTTCATGCAACCGCTCTTTCTTCTCTTTCTTTTTAGCTCTGCCTCCTCCTCCCGTTTAGCGGGAAATGAGGTGGATAGGCTTTCCTTGCTTGCCTTCAAAGCTGAAATTGTGACCGATACCCTCGGCATCCTTAGCTCTTGGAATGAATCCCTCCACTTCTGTCATTGGCCAGGCATTACTTGTGGCCGTAGACACCAGAGGGTTACAGTGCTCGACCTCCGATCAAGCGGGCTGGCAGGCCACCTATCTCCCCACATTGGAAACTTGAGCTTTCTGAGGATTTTACGCCTCCAAAACAATAGCTTCAGCCACACCATCCCGACAGAAATTGGCCGTTTGTTCCGCTTGGAAAGACTACGCCTTAATAACAACTCCTTCAGTGGTCATATTCCATTCAACATATCACGTTGCTCTAACCTCCAATACCTTGGCTTAAATGACAACACTCTTAGTGGCGAACTTCCAACTGAAATTGCCTCACTGTCCAAGCTTCAGCTACTTTCTTTTGCCACAAACAATTTTCATGGGAAAATCCCACCTTCTTTTGGGAATCTTTCTTCTCTTTGGTCGCTATCTGCACATAGAAATAATCTGCATGGGGGTATTCCAAATAGCCTTGGCCAGTTGAAAAGCTTAATGATTTTTTCACTAGCTACAAATTATTTGAATGGTACCATCCCTCCCTCCATATACAACCTCTCGTCAATTGAAGAAATTTATATGTATCAAAACAACCTTCAAGGAACCCTTCCTTCTGGCTTGGGCCACACTATATTTCCAAACCTTGAAATCTTTGTTTTCCATACCAACCAATTCACTGGACCAGTACCAACTTCAATCTCCAATGCCTCAAACCTTTCAGTAGTTGATATCTCAGCCAATAAGTTTACTGGGAAAGTGCCTACTCTGGCACGGCTGTCAAATTTGTATTGGTTCAACGTTCTGGAAAACAATCTTGGAAATAATGAGGAAGGTGACTTGGATTTCATCTCTTCTCTAGTTAATTGCACCAATTTAGCAGAGTTATCTATTTGCTTCAATAATTTTGGAGGAGTGCTGCCTGAATCTATCAGCAATCTCTCAACAAAGCTCAGGGAAATAAGTTTTGAATACAATCAAATACGCGGAAACGTTCCCGTCGGGATTGGAAATCTCATCAACTTGGAGAGACTGGGCTTTTTTGCAAATTTATTGGCAGGCACTATACCGAATTCAATAGGTAAACTGAATAAGCTTTATGAGCTATATCTAGATTCGAATGAATTGTCAGGTAATGTTCCATCATCTCTAGGAAATCTCACTTTATTAAGCAGCTTGGTTCTCAATTCAAACAAGTTAAATGGAAGCATACCACAAAGTCTCGGAGACTGCAGGTTTATGTTAAATTTGGATCTTTCCCACAACAATCTTAGCGGTCCAATTCCAAAACAAGTCGTCAATTTACCTGTTTACTTGAATCTATCTGGAAACCAACTTACTGAATCCATTCCCATGGAAGTAGGTAACTCACAACATCTTGTTTCCTTGGATGTTTCTGAAAACAAGTTATCTGGTGAGATTCCACAAAGCTTAGGGAGTTGCACAAGTTTGACGACTCTCTCTCTGAGAGAAAATTCATTACATGGGACAATTCCTAAATCCTTGAGCTCTTTGAGAGGAATTGAAGATTTTGACCTCTCTCGCAACAACTTGTCTGGCATAATTCCCAACTACTTGGCGAGTTTTCCCTTCTTGCAGAATTTGAACCTTTCATTTAACGATTTTGAAGGTGCAGTACCAATCCAAGGAGTTTTTAAGAATGCAAGTGCGGTATCTGTTATGGGAAACACACGGCTTTGTGGAGGTATGCCTCACCTAAGATTGCCTAAATGCATCTCCAAGCAATCTAAGCGCGGGTTATCTCCTAAGCTGAACTTAATTATCTCAGTTTCCTGTGGGGTTGTCGGCTTGGTCTTGGTGTTGTTACTTGCGCTTCTTTATCGATCAAGAAAGGCTAGAGCGCTTAAGTCAACTTCAGGATCATTAATGGGGGTTTCACTCTTGAGACTGTCTTATGGAGATCTCCTCAAAGCAACTGATGGGTTCTCTGCTTCAAATTTGATTGGTGCTGGTAGTTTTGGATCCGTGTACAAGGGAATTATCAATCAGCTTGAAGAAAGATTTGTTGCGGTGAAAGTACTCAATCTTCAAACTTCAAGAGCTTCTAAAAGTTTCTTATCTGAATGTGAAGCCTTGAAAAGCGTCAGGCATCGAAATCTTGTCAAGCTATTGACTGCTTGTTCAAGCATTGATTTTCAAGGAAACGATTTCAAAGCCCTGGTGTATGAGTTCATGGTGAATGGAAGCCTAGATGAGTGGCTGCACATTTCAGCTCAAAGAGTAGATCGCCTAGCCAATCTGCCAAAGAACCTGAATCTCACTCAAAGAGTTAACATTGCCATCGATGTAGCGTGTGCTCTAGATTATTTGCACAACCGCTCCCACATACCAATAGTTCATTGTGATATAAAGCCCAGCAACATTTTGTTAGACAGTGACATGATTGCTTGTGTTGGTGATTTCGGTTTAGCAAGGTGGCTTCGGGATGCTTCTTGCCCATCTCCCTTGCATGATAGCAGTTCCAATGTCATAAAAGGCACCATAGGCTATACTCCCCCAGGTAAATTTTCTTTTGTATATATTTTATTTGTGCTTGCACTATTGTTTTGTATATAGCATGAGCTTTTTGAAGTCACACATATGAACAAAGCCATGTTTTTGTGCATATAACTTAAAAGAGTATGGAATGGGAGGCGAGGTGTCAACATATGGCGACATGTATAGCTACGGAATACTGTTGTTGGAGATGTTAACTGGCAAGAGGCCGACAGATGACATGTTTAACGGTGGTATGGACTTGCACAATTTTGTTATGATGGCTCTACCAGAACGCGTAGGAGAAATATGTGATCCACTACTTGTTCAAATAGAAGAAAGCAGCATCAATACTAATCCCAGAAGTAATAGGGGGAATAATGCCCCAAATGATCGAAGAAAAGGGGTTGTGGAGTGCTTGACTTCCATTGCAAGAGTAGGAGTTGCTTGTTCTGTAGCGATGCCGAGAGAGCGAAAAGACATGAGCAATGTGGTAGCTGAATTGAGTCTAATAAGGGATGTGCTAAATGGAACTACGATGCCTAGAGAGTATTCGTGATGATGATCCAAGTAGTGAGTAATAATACCCTGTTATCGTTAAATAAAATCTCATGACAGTGATTGAACTTTGCATGGTGATCTTTTGAATGATGATGAGGTGGATTTTCCCGTTTTACAATTTCATTTTGTATGTTTTGTAAATGATCTTAATTTGCAAGATCATCTTTATGTTTGCTTGGAAATTTGGAATTTGTCAATTTGAGTTTGGTTCATGTTCTTATAATTAAACATTTTAAGGTTGGAATCTGTCAACTTAACTGTGGCGTGTGTGTGTGTGTGTGTGTGTGTGTGCATAGAGCCCGCAAAAATGAACGTTAAGCGCACCTCTGCATTGTTAATAAATTTCCTCAAATTGCTTATTTGGTGGTTTTAGTAGCCCAAGTATCAATTTGGTGGTTTTGGTAGCCCAAGTATCAATTTGGTGGTTTTGGTAGCCCAAGTATCAGGCCTGGTACGCAGAGAAATCTTCGGGAGTTTCTTTAGGTCGTGGTTGGTATTGTACTTAAATTGTTTTTAAATTTGAATAATTAAAAAGAAAGAAAAAAACCTATAGCAACTCCCTGTGAATTCGAAAATTACTACTAAATTTAATTAGACAAAAAAAAGTATCAATATTAGTTAAAATTTCATTTACACAAAAAACAAACAATTTGGAAATACTATTTTTAATATTTCAACCATGCAAAGTTGAATTTAAATTTGAGAGTTTTAACGAAAAGTCTGTGATACTGTTCACTTTAACGAAAAACCACATTTTTACACTAAAAAG